CAAAGTTTCGTCTTGCTAATTCTTTTGTAGTCAGATAGCCATTTGATCTACAATATGGAGACAGCTATCGATGACAGTCTACGCTGACTTGTTTGAAATCTTTTACTTGACTCATGGGCAGTGCAAGTTTCTGACCCATCTGGTGGAAGAACTGACTGGCTGACTTACTCAGTTCACATTTGCGTTGGACAGAATCCCAATCGTCTCGTTTATGTCAGCTGAGCCCAAAAAGACTCCGAAACTGACTCCAGATTCATGAAGGTGCACCTTGCCTTTTCGGTCTCTATTTTTCATTTTTCTTTCATCGATAGAAGACACACAGGCTAACTGACTAGATTCCCGAAGGCTGGCCCACACCAGCCCCCAGGGTCATGTTGCCTCTCCGAATCCAGCGAAAATTAAATTTGTTTTATTTATATTTTTTGTATGTTTAAAGTTTCTCTTTTGCACTAGAATTTCCATAACAGTTTCATTGATTTTATGAGGTAGGGTCGGTAGCCCCAGGCTAGAAAATTAGAGAACTAATAAACTAGGCGGGGTTACTTTACTACAAACATTCAGGTAATTTTCAAAAGAATGATTATTAAACAAAGAATACGCTTTTCGATAATTTCATCATCAGGCTCTACAGTTATATATACATTGTAGTGAATGAATGAATTAGTGTTATTACTAACATTAATGTTAACATAAAATCGAATCAATAATATCAATAGATTACAGCTCATTGGCATCAACATAACAATGCATACTGAATGTCAGAAAAATCAGGCAAGAGAATATGACGAATTCGTGAATTTAAAGTCTCTACTGAAGGACAGCCAGGGCAAAAGAAGTGGCTGACTAAAACCGCTTCTTTTGCACACAGAGCACTGGTTGTTTCACGCGAATCGCGATAGCCACTGCTGTTTGCAGCATGCGGTATCTCGATGTTTTTGGCAATTTATTAGGTACCCGGTAGATGATAGAGAAGGATTCTCCGATGCTGGATTTGTGGCCAGCACTACACCTTTAGCTAGTCATACTGGGAGATGTTCTGGAACACGAAAAGTCAAGTTCCTAGGTCAACGGCAAATATAAGGCACTCTACAATAAGCGCAGTTGGATTGGTAGATACAGTCGGAGGTGCTATTTTAGGTACTTCATCTTTCAGTCTATGAATTAACATTGGTTTGCCAGCGTTAAAAAATGATTTTCCTAATTTCTTCGTAACTATTTCGCTAGGTATATCACTCTTGAATTGCAGTCGTATGTGCAAAGGCTTCTTGTTTACGGATAAGTAATAGTCCTTTCCAGCTTTCTTTGTCATGGTTACTTGATGAATGTGTCAGGATAGCTATTTTTAGTTAATCAAGATATCATATACGATGCTTGGCTCATCTCCAGTTACTTTTCCTGAGCATATAGCTCTAAGATTTGATAGTTCGAAATATTCCCATATCATGAATTAAAAGTCAATCTTAATGCATATATCATTTCAACTGTTCCTGTGGTTCAAGTTATATAGGGCGCACGATTAGGCAGGTGCGTCAATAGGTTCGAGAACATTTACCAGCTTGGTTCAGCGGGGGGGGGAGGAAAATTAAGTGCATAAAAAGCTCGGTCCTGTCATACTTGGTCGATACTGAACATCGCATCGATGTCAATACCGGGACTTTGTATCCAAAAGCAACACGTCCAGACGCTGTTTCTACCGTGGCCAAACTTGGATTGATGATTCTTCTTCTCACCAAGAGTGCTGCTTCCCTTTAACCCTCTTGATTTTTTTCTTTCCTTTGCTTATTATTACAATTATTATTATTCGTCATAATTTATACCCTTCATGCAAACACTCTCTCAATACTATAGAATTTTCCATTTATACTATCCGGACTTATTATTAGTGATATTATCTCTCCTCTCAATATATGCCTCCACCTGTTTTATTTCGCACATTCGTTATGAACCTCTCATTTCAGTCCTACTATCCCCTGTTTTAAGAAAGACCACTTTGTACTAGCCACTGACTCACCTGACACCTTTTGCAACCTTGAACTGATTTGTCAGTTTTCCTACCCCATACTCTACAAATATATTATAACTGATTTTGATGTGGTTTTGTTGTCTGAGCTGGATGGTTAGTTTGCGAAGCTTTCATCGCCCTACTGGGTGACATCTTCAGCGCATACTTCAATTTGAAGTGAGCTTTAAGTTTCTCCGAGAGTTTGTTAATCATTCCTCCTGGTGACCTTGGACGTGATTGGTTGTTTGTGTGTGTTTTCACACCTTCTAGGTTACTTGTGTTGGAACTGATTGTTTCTGTGACTTGAACTTTGACCCTTTGTGTGTGAAGTTTCTTTCTTATTGGTTGATAAATTTTGTCTATCTTGATGTGTCTATTGATTGTCTAAAGGGGACGTCCACTTTGGCCAATGTCCCCTTCGTCTTCGTATCCACGAACATAAGCTAGTTGTCAAAAGACATGACATTCACTTCCTTGTATCATTACATACAGACAACCATGGACATCAATTCGACAGGGACAACGTTCAGATATTAGACAGAGGAAACAACAAGAATGCTAGAGAATTTTTAGAAGCCTGTATGGCATTCCAGTGGATCATCAATCAATAGACACATCAAGATAGACAAAATTTATCAACCAATAAGAAAGAAACTTCACACACAAAGGGTCAAAGTTCAAGTCACAGAAACAATCAGTTCCAACACAAGTAACCTAGAAGGTGTGAAAACACACATAAACAACCAATCACGTCCAAGGTCACCAGGAGGAATGATTAACAAACTCTCGGAGAAACCTAAAAGCTCACTTCAAATTGAAGTATGCGCTGAAGATGTCACCCAGTAGGGCGATGAAAGCTTCGCAAACTAACCATCCAGCTCAGAGAACAAAACCACATCAAAATTATCCACCTGAGCTACAAATCTTCTCTATCATATCTATATTATGACTAATCACCGCCATTTTGATGTGGTTTTGTTCTCTGAGCTGGATGGTTAGTTTGCGAAGCTTTCATCACCTTACTGGGTGACATCTTCAGCGCATACTTCAATTTGAAGTGAGCTTTTAGATTTCTCCACGAGTTTATTAATCATCTCTCCTGGTGACCTTGGACGTGATTGGTTGTTTGTGTGTGTTTTCACACCTTCTAGGTTACTTGTATTGGAACCGGTTGTTTCTTTGACTTGAATTTTGACCCTTTGTCTGTGAAGTTTCTTTCTTATTGGTTGATAAATTTTGTCTATGTCGATGTGTCTATTGATTGATGATCCACTGGAATGCCAAGCTTCTAAAAATTCTCTAGCATTCTTGTTATTTCCTTTGTCTAATATTTGAATGTTGTCCCAGTCGAATTGATGTCCGTAGTTGTCTGTGTGTAGTGAAATGAGGGAGTGGATATCATGTCTTTTGGCGGCTAGCTTATGTTCGTGGATACGAAGACGAAGGGGACGTCCACTTTGGCCGATGTAGTGTTTTTCGCAGTTGTTACAGTTTATTTTGTAGATGATGTTGGTTTTATCTTCTTTCGCTGTTGAGTCTTTTGGTTGACATAGAATTGAGTGAAGCGACTTTGTTGGTTTGTGTACGACGTCAACTCCTAAAGGTTTGAAGAGTCTTGTAGTGATTTCTGAGATATCTTTTATATATGGTAAGGCAATTTTCTTTGTGTTCTTCTTGGTGGCTTTTGCTTTGGTAGGTTGGCTTGGGAGTATATGTCTCTTGATGAAATTCCGTGGATATCCATTCTTTTGGAAGACGTCCATGAGATACTTTTCTTCAATTTTTCTTAAGGTGGGAGTGCTGCAGTGAGTCCTTGCCCTCTTGAATAGTGTTTGTACACAAACCAACAAAGTCGCTTCACTCAATTCTATGTCAACCAAAAGACTCAACAGCGAAAGAAGATAAAACCAACATCATCTACAAAATAAACTGTAACAACTGCGAAAAACACTACATCGGCCAAAGTGGACGTCCCCTTCGTCTTCGTATCCACGAACATAAGCTAGCCGCCAAAAGACATGATATCCACTCCCTCATTTCACTACACACAGACAACTACGGACATCAATTCGACTGGGACAACATTCAAATATTAGACAAAGGAAATAACAAGAATGCTAGAGAATTTTTAGAAGCTTGGCATTCCAGTGGATCATCAATCAATAGACACATCGACATAGACAAAATTTATCAACCAATAAGAAAGAAACTTCACAGACAAAGGGTCAAAATTCAAGTCAAAGAAACAACCGGTTCCAATACAAGTAACCTAGAAGGTGTGAAAACACACACAAACAACCAATCACGTCCAAGGTCACCAGGAGAGATGATTAATAAACTCGTGGAGAAATCTAAAAGCTCACTTCAAATTGAAGTATGCGCTGAAGATGTCACCCAGTAAGGTGATGAAAGCTTCGCAAACTAACCATCCAGCTCAGAGAACAAAACCACATCAAAATCATCCACCTGAGCTACAAATCTTCTCTATAATATCTAATCACCACCATTGTCTCCCATTTCACCGTTATATTTTGTGATCGATTTTAGCCTAGCACAATGTTTGTCACACAAACACGACTATTTATTTTGACACCCCATACATAACTAAAGTGTTAGTCTACATAAATAAAAAATACATCCGCCGCATAACTGGCCATTACTGTAACGACGACAAATATTACATTTTATAATTGTAAGAACCTGAAGAGGGGAAATTGTTGAAAAGAATATTCTACGTTGAAAATGACTTTTATTACTGCTCTAACCCTGTGGCTTAGGGTCTTTACTAAATTCTTTTTTGTATTGGAGAGGAACAAAGCTGTGAAAATGTGTAATTACTTTTGATTATTACTATTATTATCGTCCCTTGTCTTCTTCTAAAATGGTATTTCTAAATATTTATACCTACTAACTATTATCTTATTGATTTATTGATTGATTGATTGATTTATCGCTTTGTCCATTAATTCATGCGCATACATTTCTACTATTATTTCAGATATCTACAAAGCTGTAATTGTAGAGGAATGTTATATGATAGACGAATTGGAATCTGCACAGGCGAATGAAGGTTCAAAAGAAACACTTCTATTATATAAAGGGTAGGTGGAACATAAAACATAAAAGAAAAAAAATTTACGTTGTGTTCTACGCATACATATATCCTGTCAAAAAACACGGTTATCACTATGTGAGAACAATGATAAGTAAAGTGAAGGAAAAGAAAAAATAAAAAGTAATCACATCTTCGTTTTCCGGAAGAATCATGCTCTAAATCATAATTTTTATTTTTATGAAAATTATCTTGGTGTTGCTTCTATTCTATTGATCAAGGCAGAAGTGTTAAAAAGACGGTACAAAAATCATCTTAACCAGTAAATCCAGAAAAAATCTTGAGTGCTATCAGGCTGCTGAAGGACAGTCATGGAGGCAGTAGGGTGAGATGGAGTTTCCACCTCCCTTGGATCCAGAGACTGTGGTAGATGTGCTCAGGTTTTGAAAAAAGTATAGGCGTCTTCCTATTGGAAGAAAGGCTAGATTATCAAGCCACCAATCAAGGGTGACTTAGGCCTCGCTCTACAACAACTAGCGTGGAATAATGTTCTTGTCCACACCAAGTAAAAATAATAATAAATCGCAACCTCTTGGAGGGAATCAAAGATACACTGAGTGCAGAACTCCTCCACCGACAGGAAGATGCTGTATTCAAGGAAGGCAAATCATGCGCTGATCAAATTGCAGCTCTACACATCATTACCGTCACAGAACTCTCACTCTTCACCTTGACCTTCTTCATCGACTTCGAATAGGCCTTTTGACAGCGTTTGACTGAGAAGTAATTTGAAAACAACTCCAACACTATGGCATGCAGTAGCCCATGTCTTCATCAACCTCATTCAACGGCCGGCTATATGACAATGCAGTTGTGGTGAGAGCAGGCCGTGAGGAAATATGTACAAGATTGATTCAACAACCAATCACAGCAAAGTTAACGTGGCAAAATATGATTCGCAGATAGCAACTCTATTTGTCGAGGAATCCCGAAACAACCAATCAGAAGCCTGCGTTTGTCTGCCTAACTTCTGATAAACAACCAATCACATGACTGCGCTTGTCTACTTGCATAAGCTATAATAATGTATGTGAAATATGTATAAATACATGTTGATTTTCATAATAAAACGATCTGTTGCCTGGCCCTTGTCTTCTGTTGTTACACAGTGTCAGGTGATCCCCAACATAAAACTCAGCAAAACTTAGATTTTGAATTGAATAGAGGAGAAAGACAAGGCTGCTTAATTATCACTCGCGACGACATTCCTAATTGTAGTGCACTACGTTATGTGTCAGACTGTGAAGAGTGAGAAGAAAGGAATCTGCAAGACGACTAGAAGGCTCAAGAAGAACCAAATTGCCCTTGGGGACGACTTATGTTTAGTGTCACAGAAATTCGAAGACTTGCAGGTAGGCGAAGACGAACAAACTGGCTGGAGAATCAGTGTAGGTGAACACAGAGAAGCTGGAGGTAATTAAGGATACCCACGCACTAATAGTGACATTAAAAAACGGCACCAAGCACCATCAACATTGGAAAATAGAAAGAGGTCACTTTATTCACTTGTCTGATTAGGAAGAATGATTTCAACCACAGGCAACAGCACGAATAAAGATGTCAAAGCTAGCTACAATCGGAAAGTCAAGATATGCATTCATCAATTTGAAATCGATTTTGGGAGTCTTCTGCTTCAGTCAACCAGCCAGCACAAACAACAAGATTCAGGGCGAATTTGAAGTCGGTCAGTCAGTCAATTCTTGTATATGGGTCAGAAACTTGCATTGCATGTGACTTGCGAAAAGCATTTCAACAGGCCAGTGTAGACTTTTATCGACACCTGCCCTCTTTGCTGGCTCTGCATTAAAGATCAGATGGCAGACTGGCCAAAATGGATTAGCAAAACAAAACTGTGAACAAACCAATTAGTAACCGATTGTTCGAGAAGTATACATGAGAAAAGTGGGGATGGATTGAGCCCACGCCATTAAGGATACCGTCAAATGACATCTTACTCAATGCAAGTCGTTGGTCGAGTAGAATCCGAATGGTAAGCGATAGGTGGGTCGTCACTGTGAAGGTTAAATTGAGGAGGTCGTGTGTTGGCGGAGGATGCGATGAGAGATTGTGAGAAATCGCCGACCTGACTGAAGAGGACAGCAGAAGAATGAAGGAAGTGAAGATGTCTTGTTGAAGTTATATGTTCCACTTGGAACCCAAAGGAATAATAATACTATATTCAATGGAACGAAATGATTCAACATCTCTGCAACAAGGTTTCTGATATAAACGACAATGAAACTCTCGTGTATTTTTCATAAAGTAACTAAAATTGATTTGAGTTATTAGTGACCGCCTCTAATGGTAATGCTATGTTTACTTGTCAACACGAAAAGGCAATAAGTAACCCACTTTAAAAGCCGAATACCAATTGTTTTCATTATTGTTATTATTATTCCCTTAATGCTCGAGTGGAACAGCAGCGCGTCTCCATTTCATCACCAGCTGCTCCGTCATCTTTTATTAGCTAGCTCCACGATTTCTTGTAAGCTTTCATCTCCTGCTCAGGTGATTGCCTATGTGTGGCCCAAAGATTCAGGCTAAAATTTTAATTTTTTTTACTCGGGTGTCACTCGATGACCTAGTTTGTGATGTTGCTCACGAGTGTCTTCATCTTATGTTCTGTCCATACCCAATTCCTTTGAAATATTTGTTGGATGGCGTCCAAGTTTCTTCTTGCTTATTTTTTCTGGCCATCTGATCTTCTGTATAGAGGCAAAATTTGAATGAACATCTGTCGCTGCGTGTGGAAAGTGCTATTCGAAATAAGTGAAAAGTGTTCAGAAAATTACACTTATGTGGTTTTTGCACAGGAAGTTCAAGTTTAAACAAAGTAAATGTACTCACAGAATGGTAAAGGAGGTATGCAGTATGGACAAGAGATGCGTAAGATTGAGAGTAACTGATAAATTGCATAAGAATGTACTGAGTTCAACTCGAATCATTATATTATATCAGAGGAGAGTGAGGTTTGAGCCAAAGACACAATCAACTGAGACACACAGAGAGAGAGAGAGAGAATAAAGGCGTCCAGTTACAAGGACAAGGTAATACTGATGATAACTGCTTCTTTCTGAATAAATAAGTCACGTTTCGGGTGTTTGACAGGGACTGATTCGATACACTCTAGAAGAATTGAGCTTTTCTGTCCATTGATAATTTGAAAGGGATTCGTAATTCCCACCTCATAACTCGTATCAAGGAGATGACTGACAGTGGCACTATTGGAAGCATTTGTTCCATTAAGAGACGTTCACAAAATCGAAGATATTCCTTCCTTTCTGTTCCCCCAATGTAAACGCTTACACAGATCCATGCAAATTTGTAAACACTGTTGTAGGTAACATAAGGAGGGTATCTGTCGATTTTTCACTGCAATAAAGACCATCTCTTCCGATAAGTGGAAAGAAACTTAGCTGTAGGATAGGCTCTGGATAGTGACGTTCTCAGCCTTCTGTTGACCACTGTTGTAATATTTTCACCTTTAAAATCAAGTTGATTGAAGTTGAGCTTTTCTCCCACCCTGATAAGTTTGGGATTAGAGTCTTTACATCTTTCGTATTTGTTAATGAACCTCTGAGGGTAACCACTGTTTTTCAACATCTTTCCGAGAATCATAAATTCTTCGTCTAATTTCTCTGCAGAGCATATTCTCTTAGCTCTATAGTACACAGTCCTGACTAGTGCTCGTTTATAGCTACTTAGACAAAAACTACTAAAATGTAGGTATGTTCCAATTCATGTAGGCTTTTGATAAATTTACTTCAGAGGATTATCATCTCCTAGGCGTTGCATGGCAATCATACTTCATTGAATCTCTTCCACCACTGTAGTCGTGACTATAACCACAGGTTTTCTATTTTCACAGATACAAGAGAATAAGATATCACTCGAATCTATAAGTGCTTTACCCGAAAAATAAAAAAAAAACACAACACACCAAACCACAACATTTCGTTTCATTATGCTTTAAGCAGCCAGCCGCCCACTTACCAACTTCTCTACTCAAGATGCCAGTGACGCACTGAATTAAAAAAATCAGTTAATCAGTATAGAAAAACACACAATTTTGTCGAGTACATATGGAATCAAGAATTAACAAAAGAAATCAAATCACAAGAAGTAGGAAATTATTTAGCAATGAGAAGGCTTAGTGAGGAAACAAAAAGCAATCCAAACATAACTAGGTTACGTCAGCAGAAGTTTTTGCCGGCCAGACTAATATGTTCGCAAAACATATCACCGATGATAAGATGGGGAGAAGGTAGTTTATTTTTCTTATGCTAGAAGGGTATACAAGCAAGTTAAGCCTCACTTTGAGAATGTGTATTCAGATTTTCAGAGTGTCTTAGCCTCAAGTTTTCAATATCGAGACAATTTTCATTCAAAGAGGCTGCATCTGTGTTAATGCACGTGGTGAAGAGCATACGCTTAACTGATATGTCGGCTGTTTGAATGGACACCAGTAACTAGTGTGATATGCCTAGTCCTTTCTTTGGTGCAGACCGAATTCTATCAGTCAGGTCAGCAATGTGGGGCCACCATGCCACTAGGTAGCTCACCATCCCGGTACAGATTGATTTGATGATATCGGATAATTGGAGGCAATCGGCCACAGGAAGCCTTACCTGACCTAGGTTTTGTGCTAGTTGGCACTCACCAGTCAGCAAGGCCTATCTGTAACCGCCTTGAAAGAACTGATGTCCATTCTGAGGTTCAAACCCATCTCACCCAATGCTTCAGTCAGAGACTTTATCACTGAGCTATTCAGGTTCGTGATCGACCCCTTGTAGGACTGTAGTGAGTGGGTAGTTTGATTGGACACTAGTAACTAGTGCGACGTGTCTAGTCCTCGTATCTTTGGTGCAGACTGAACTCTATCAATCAGTCAAGTTTGCAATGTAGCCACCATTCTAAATTCCATTTACCAATGACGATATTGCAACATAATAGAACAAGGAACCGATAATATATCTTTGTGCTAGACCT